CATGAAAATAATATGATACTTATTTTTAATAGGGATAAGATATTATTTTTGCCTTATTTTCTTGCCTACCTTATCTACTCGTTTTTAATATTATTGAATCAAAATCTCACTTTTTTTTATCTCCTTTTCAGATTCTGATCCAAAATGATATCAAAGATGAGTATGTAACATAAGTAAGAAAAAAAAGTAGGTAGAATAATATATTTTTAATAAAATACTAAAATAAATTTAATAAAATATATACATTCAATTAATTATCAACTAATATATCATTACTTTAATTACAAAATAATAATATTAAATATTTGTTAATGTAACTTAAACTTTTGCAAAAAAAAAAAATTCTACTACAGGGTAGGGTGGAAATATTCAAGAGTGGGGAAAGGTATACAGAGAAGAAGGTGGGTTCAGTAGAAAGCAATCGAGGCGACGGAACGACGTGGCAACATTTCTCAGCATTTGTCAAAGCAATGAAGAGTAAATTCAGGGATCCCCAGCACTGTGTATCACACGTGCCCTACATTTCTACTTTTTAAAATTTCATATTATCAAAAAGTTTAACTTGTTGGGTCGACTTTGGTTGCTTACTTTTTAATGTCACCTCTAAACACCAAGTCGCCACTCAACAGGCAAGTCATGTCATGGCTTTTTTACCAATGCAATGAAAGAAAAAAAATTAAACATATTATCGTTTTAAATTATGTACTAGTTTAATGTAAATGAAATGCGCATGGTACTCCTTTAAATCAGGCATCACCCCCATGATCATTTGTGCAAAAATTAAAATGCGCATGCAAAAACTAAAATGATTTACAAGATGTGCACGAAGACGTGTGTGACTTAAAATTTATTAGGATTCGCGTCTTGCGTTCTATAAACTTTTATATAAATCATGCATGGTAGTGATCTAACAAGCACGGACACGTTGTTTTTAGAAAAATTTACGTGTCGGACACGTGTCTGATACGGACACGTTCTGACATGTTCGGACGCGCCGTCAACATTTGAGGACACGCGATCAACTCTCCGACACATTCAGACACGTTTTTCTGACACACAGTCAACTTTTTCGGACACGCGGTCAATGCTTGGACACGCTCAGACACGTTTTTTTTTTTTTAAATCTTAATTTTATTTTGTTAACTAAATATAAAAAAAATAATTTATAAATTAATTTTTTTCTGTTATGAAATTTGATATGAAAAATTAAAAAAGTACGAATAATTATTTATATTTAAATTTATGTTATAAAATTTAAATATTTGATTGATTATATGACTTATTATGGACTCTTATATGTATTAAATATAAATTATATTATATATATTAAAAAATTTATTTAATATCAAAACATGTTCAAATATGACATTTTTTAGAATTAACGTGTCGGCGTATCGTGTCATGTCGTGTCCCGTGTCCGTGTCCGTGCATCATGGGTAGTGATGCACATTTTTTTTTTTTTTTTTTTGGTATGCAGTGATGCACAATTTAAATATATATATATATTTTTTTTGTAATACACAATTTAAATATACATACTCTACATGCGCTCATTAGTATTAAATGGATAAATTTTTTTTCTAAAATGATGGTATATTTATTTATTTTATTATTTCTTTCAAAAAGTTAAAATGTCATTCCTAAGTTCCCAAACAAATATTCTTTAATATATGATATTATACCGACTTTTTTATGTGTCGACTCTATCTAGTATTTATTATTTTTGAATATCATTATATCATAATTTAAAAAGGATAGAAAATGAGTGAATGTCTCGTGAAATTATAATCTTACGGTATTAGAATAGAGTAGGTAGAACATGCAAGAAAAAAATAGAAACATAAATCCTATCCCATATATTTTTTTAAAAATATTACACTAAGGGCATGTTTGGTGCATAGTATAGGATAAGGCCTGATAGTATAAGACCTGATAGTATAAGACCTGATAGTATAAGGCCTGATTGTATAAGACTTGATTGAATTTTAATACTATCAAGCGTTTGGCACGATATTGTATAAAATAATATATTGTATAAGATAATATCATCTAGTATTTGGTAATGCACTGTATAATACCATATATGATAAAAATAAATATTTTTAATAAAAATATCATTTAATAAGAAATTTATATAATTCTTCAAAAAATGTCATATGGTATTAATTTTTATAAAAATTTATTGATTAGTGTGTCCAAAATATAAATTAATTTTTATAAAAATAAAAATATTCAATATTTTAAAAATTAATATATTGAAAAATAAATTTTTATTTTAATAGATTAATATTAAAATAATATATTAATTTTTAAGAATTACATTGGTCAACGATGTTAATACATCAATCTCTTATCAGGTCTTATCCCTCACCCTCAGGGCGGATTAAGTTATATATCGTTTTGATGTATTAAGGAATTATGCTGTATAAGTTTATACTATACGGTGGTCACACCAAATAACTAAAAATGTCATAACGTATATTATAAGCTTATACTATCATGCCTTACACGTCACACCAAACATGCCATAAGTTTCAGTTAATAAACATGCAAGCATTTAATTCTATAATACATTCGACTTATTTTTTTTTTCCTTCATGAGATTTTTTAAAGGTTTACATTACCTAAAATTAACTTTGATGGGTTTACATTAGTTAAGATAAATTTATTTGTTATCATTTTAATTGTTGGTATAAAAGGAATTATCACAAGCTAATATTTTTTGAATTTCAATTCTTATGATTTATATTTCTGTGTGTTGGCAACTATAACTTTATTTTGCTTACCAAAAAAAAAAACAAAAACTATACCTTTATTTTAAGTTTTGATTCTTCAAAAACAAATAAACAAAACTTAGGAAAATATTCTCACGTGACATGAGAGAGTTTTTCTCTCATGCACTCACAAATCAAGGGTGGAAACCACTTTTTTTTTCTTCTCTAAATTGTTAGTGCACGAGAGAATAATTCTCTCATATCACGTGAGAATAATATTTCTCCAAAACTTAAGAGGATTTGATTTATGAAATTCTAACTTTGACTTGACCAACTTACCCCCAACATGCCTTGACAATTACACGCATGGCTCTGAGTATCCGAGGAGGTCCTGCCACATGCAGAGGTGCAGAGAGATCAAGGATAAGTGTAACCGTAGGTGATGTGAAAACGATGCACGGACACGGATACGGACACGGGACACGGGACACGACACGACACGACACGCCGACACGTTAATTTTAAAAAATGTCATATTTGGACACGTTGGGACACGTTTTGATATTAAATAAAATTTTTAATATATATAATTTAATTTAATTTAATACATATAAAAATCCATAATAAGTCATATAATCAATCAAATATTTAAATTTCATAACATAAATATTAAAAAAAAAATAGAACATCAAACCTTCAGATTGTTAAAGGGGAAGGAATCAATCATGCAGTTGAAGGTGTCTTAATTCCTAGTCTCATAGACACGCACAGATGACAACTCTATCTCACTCTTAACTTTTTTTCTCTCTCTTTTTCCTTTGTTCCTTTTCCCCATGTTTTCTTGGAAAAGAAAAACAAGGTCTGGCTTTTTTGCAGGTGCCTAATAACCCAACTTTTTCCTCCTTTTACTCATCAAACCATCTCCCTCATTTTCTACTCTCTTTTAATATCAAGATACAAAACAAAACACACACGCATAATCACTGTATCAAAACACATGCTTCAAAAACTCCTTTCTCGGAAGAACAATTTTTTTTATATTTATATAGCCTTTGGATTCTTCAAAATTTTTTAAACAAATTATGCTGCCAATAGTCTCAAAAGAAGCCTTCATACGTTGCACTGTATATTAGATCTTTTTATGTTGATGTTCCTCAAGTTTTTTAATTAGATCCTTCCTTATAGATCATTGAAAGAAAAATTCCAGAGAATGGACAGAGACGCGACCAACGACCGGAAATGTAGCCGGCGACCGACGGCGAGAGGAAGAAGACGAGGACCATTTCAGCGCGAGAGGCCACTTCCACCGTTCCAGACTTTTTCATTTTTATTAAATATTTTTTATTTTTTTATTTTATTTTTATTTTTTTTATAAAAAAATGCAAAACGTGTCCCAAAACGTGTCCACATACGTTGACCGCGTGTCCGAACGTGTCCGTGTCCAACACGTGTCGGACACGCATTTTTTCTTCAAAATTCTCGTGTCCATGTTTCACATATGTGAACCACTCTCTATTAATTACCACGTGGAAAATTTTCAAATGCCTTGTCATAATTCATGAACAACCCAACACTGAAGTGAATCACCCTCTTCTTGTTTCTAATTATTTTTTTGTTTTATTCACTTTCATTACATCACCTTCACAAATCACAACGTTGTAAGCCACCTGTAATACATATGTCCTTTTTTTTTTTCACAATTCCCACTTTGGAACGTGACTTTTGGTTCACCAAATTTGAACCTACATTCACATTCTAGATCTCTTAACTTTTTGATTTGCTTTTTCTTTTTTAAGATCAGATTAGTATTTTAAATAATTTTATTTTTTATATATATAAAAATATATAAATTTTTATATAAATTTGTTTATATGGCACTTTCACTATTCATTTATGATAGCCATCCACATTGTAATTTTGTGCCTACACCCCCTCCACCCTCTCCCTCTTCAGAGAAACCTTCAAGGGAGTTGTTCTGTTGAAGGGTTTCAATGGAGGTAAAAAAAAATGTTGATCAAGTTGAATTCTTTTCATCATGCAACAAGCTAAAACTACTGAGTTTTCTTGCAGAGGATTTTGGCTGATAAACAGTGCAACTACAGCACCAAATTACCAACAAAGTGCAACAAAATAGACCTTACTCTGAAGCTTTCTCCTTGTGGTGAAAATGCAGAAGAAAGGAGGTTGACAAGGTCATCATCATTGGTGGAAAATGGGAGCCTGTGGGGTCCATTTGTGCCATCTTTGGATAGATCTTGGTCCCTGCCAGCAGAGGCTGAGAAGGGTCTTATGAAGTTTGCAGAGAGTGTGGCTGGCAAGTGTCCTTTGGTGTCAACTCAAATGCTTGCTTTGATGGCTGCTTCTGCTGTGAAGACGCCAGCACTTGCTTGTGCAAATGATAAACTCAAGGCACATGGGGATTCACAGCTTGAGGGTAACATGTTTTTCTCATTTATGTCTTGTTCCTTTGGTTGTTATATACTTGGTTGAATGTGACATAAGTTCCTTTGGGTGATAAGTATTCTTATGTCTCATTTGCATCATTAACTTGTAATACTTCTGATTATTGTTTTAGAGTGTTAGAAAAATAATAACATATTTGATTGATTTGCAGCTAAATGATTAAAAAAATAAGATGAAACCTTTTTCGTAGTTTTGGAGACTATCCTCCCAACAGTAAAAGCACTTTTACTTGTATACTTTTGAGGAGCCTTTTCCTCCACCAGCTTCTTTGTTCCTTTTTCTTTCCTTTAATTGATTTTTAAATTATTTACATCATTTAAGTTTTTATGCTATTGTTTGATTCCTCGCGTTACAATGTGTTAGAGATATATAAAATCATTAATGTAGGCTTACTTACCATCTTAAACTTTTGAGTTGAATTGGTTCTTTACATGGTATCAGAGCCTTGGTGTCACGGGTTCGATCCTCACCGCCCTCTACTTTCTCTTGTGAAATTTCTTAGCATAGGTAGGCTGAGCCTAATGCATTATCCACTCGTCAAGCCCAATGGAGTCTCGTGGGAGGGTGTGTGTTAGAAATATATAAAACCATTAATGTAGCCTCATCCACCAACTTAAGCTTTTGGGTTGAATTGATTCTTTATACAATAAATGGTGTGTAAGCTAAATTTTAAAGCCAATGAAGTAAACCAAGTTTCTCCTTGTTAGGAAAGCAAATGATATCTTAATCAGATAACTTAAGAGATACTGAAATTTCTAAATTATAGGCCTAGAGGGCAGAACTCTCTGTATATAAATATGATTTGGAGGAACTATTTTTTAGTACATGTGAAACTTTTGTTTAGTAGTAATGAAAAGAGAGAAACTGACCAAAATAGAGGTTTCCTTGTAAAAAAGTTCCAATGTAGCTACTTAGCAAATGAATAAAGATTGTGCATTTTATGCATGTTAACCATGTTGTCTGATGATGTTCTTCATTGCTTCCATATGTTTCACGCAGTCCTTGGTAATCAAATGTTACCACTACAAATGATCTTGAGCTACTATATGACATAATTTTTCTTAACTCTTCCTTTGTTAAACCTTCATTATATCACTCTTTCCTTCTCAGTTGTCCTCACAAATAAAGGCTCATTGAATTAATTTTGGATGTACAGCATCTTTAGATTTCTAGGGGTCATTAAAATTTCAAACAATGAGTCGGGAGGAAGCTATATTTCATTTGCTTAGAGTGTTACAACACTTCATCTTTACAAATACTTGCACTATACAAGATGGCCTGTCCTTTCCTGGGTGGCAGAAAAACCACAAATTGCTGAGTTTAATTACTGAAATAAGTCATGGTTTCGCCCAAAGAAAGAAAAAGAGAAGGAAAAAATGAAATCCAAATAAGCAAAATCAGCATAAATATCTAATGAGTCATCATGTACTATCAATTGAAAATGCCTACTATGATTTCTTCACTGGTTGGTTACATTCATACTCCTAATACTCATGTCATGTTGCTGAATATGTGAGTGGATCCTCTCGTGTTATTTAAATTAACCATGTCATGTGAGAGGATCCTAATCATTCATGCTCAAACTAATGTTGATGATTTTGTCACTTTCTATTCTAATATTTTTTCTCTCTCATCTCTCATCACCGTTAATTTGTGTTACAGCTCTGGATTTGAAAAATGGAAATTGAATGAGGAGTAGATTGAAGATGGAAAGGGGAAACTTTATTGATTAAGGAAAAAGAAACACGAGTTCACACTGAGAACTACTCAGTAATTAACTAATTCAGCCAAAAAGTACCTAACAATGGGAACTATGCCCCTTTTATACACATTCTGTGATTTCCTCCTATACATTTAACTGTCTAACTTCCTAACAGGGTGTTACTAACTACCCGTAGCTGTAATTAAAGCTCTCAACATAACAAATAGTCCACAACTACTAGTTGACAAACTGGCAGGTGTCTGAGGTATAACATGAGTCGTAACAATTTTATGATTATCTCACATGACATGGTCATGTTAAATAACACATGAGAGTATTCATTTCTGCTGTATATTGATCTAAAGGCAGTAATAACCTTGAATAAGTTATGTATGTACTTACAAATATACTTAGGTGCTAGAAGACATTGTTAGGAGAATTTAATAATAAATGCCTACATAGTCACCCTGAATGAGTTATGTGGTAAACTTGTAATAAAGATTTACAAGAACACTTAGGGCTCGTTTGGTGGACAAGATAGGATAATGGTAGGATATGATATGGGGCTGATAAGGGTAGGATATGATATGGGGTTGATAAGCCTATATCATATCATGTGTTTGATGAGCATCTAATTAGCAATCTGATAAGATTATGTAGAAAGAAAAAGGAGAAAGAAAAAACAAAATATAATACAATAAATACAAATATATTTGGTAGCGTGAGGATATATTGGGTAGCGTGGGGATATATTGGGTATCTAACATTGGTATCCTATCCTATTGAATCTTAACCCAGCTCCCCCCATAAGATAAGAAATCATGTATTGGATAGGATAAGATGAGACAATAGGATAAGCTAATCATATCCTATTGATCCACCAAACAAGAGATAAAAATAAGATATGATAAGTTATCCTATCTTATCTTCCTTATCAGGTGTTCCAAACAGGCCCTTATGGTTTACTGAAAACAAATGCATTTAGTTTTTCTTAACATGTGCCCATGGGGAAAAAGTTAACAATAGCCTTTTAAAAATTCCGTTTTATGCCATTCCATAATTCAATTTTGTTCTTCTTGCATAGTTATGTTTTAACTCTGTAAATTTTCTCCCTCAATGTGAGTGTGTTCCTTATATACATGTGCAATGATATGATATCACAACTGAGTTTATCTTGTATGAAGGAATGGCTTTGTTATTCTTCGTATGATTAATCTTCATTAAGTCAGCCATTTATCTTCATTGCTGGAGAGTGGTTGTTGCGGTGTACCAACATTTGTATACCAGAAAGAAATAATTTATGCATCATAGATATGTCAGGACATAATGTCGCATCATAATCCAGATCCTGAAGTTCATTTACATATAGAAATTGGTTTGGTGGTGTATGATTCGTTTTGACTAAACTTTCGTTTATATTGGTTTACTTAATTTCTAAATTAATTTCAAGTATTAAGATCATTTATTCATGATTTCATGTCCTCCGAAACATGGTTCATTTACTTTCCCACTACATTGTAATAAATTATTGTAGATGCTGCAAGCGCGCAGCCAGGCATATACCCCAGCACTGGTACACCTTTCTTTTAATTGTTTAATCTATAATGATCAGAAACAGGACTTGACATTTGTGATAGTAAAGCAGGAATCACCATTTTCTCTGATAGTTTTATCTATCTAAGATATTTGCTTTTATTTTTAAAGATTCATAATTTGGGAGTGGGCTTTTTGTTCTATTCATGATTTCTTCATTATAGCTTTTCGGGTGATTTTTAGATACATGCACAAGGTGTGTTAGAGCTACGTCTTCTTGGCTTCTTAATGTAACAGGATGTCCCACCTTTCTTTTCCTAGTTACCTTAAAAGAATTTTTTTTTTCTCTACTGGTTCGTCAGAAACCCAACTAGTTTGGTTCGAACATTATCAGACTCCTATCGGAGGCTTTCCCAACACTATTTTCTTCTTTCTTTGGAATTCGAACTAGAGACCTTTTGTTAAGACGATCTTTTTTAACTCATGAACAACTTATGGTTTGATTTCAAGTAAATACATGAATAGAAATTGACTTTCTCATCTAGCAGTGATGCTGAGATATACCTCTGTCTCATTTTCTCTTTTGATTGTTTTGTTCTACCTCAGTAATCATCTGCAATAACACATACGAAGCAGAACATTAATTGAAGCAGTAAGTGTTTTGTGTAACAATAAATTCTCTGCGTGGCTATAAGTATGTTCTTAGTTTCCTTGCTAAATACTCCTATTACTGCTAGTAATATTTTTTCATATGATCTTGCTCATCTGAATCTGAAACTTTCTTGCATGCTTTCCATACCAAAAGAAACATTCACAGGTGGCTCATACAACATTCCATATATGGTTCCAAGATGTTTGGCTGAAGGAGGAGTTGGTTCAAACATGCAAACATCAACCATGGAGGAAAATGATTCCATGGTTTCACGGAAAACAATGGCCAAAGATATTCAACATGAGAATCCACCAAAGAAGCTTAAGCTTGGAAACTACTGCAGTCTTAAGGGTGATGTAATGGAGATCCTGAGACAGATGCTAAGTGTGAGTACTACTGGAGATGGCCCCAATGGGAAGAGAATAGAAGGATTTTTGTATAAGTATAGGTCAGGTCAAGTGTGTATTGTATGTGTTTGCCATGGTAGCTTCCTCACTCCTGCAGAGTTTGTGATGCATGCTGGGGGCAAGGAAGTGGTGAATCCCATGAAGCATATCACTGTTTATTCTAATAACTCATTTTAGAGATCAAATAGAAATGGCTTGTATGATTCATCCATCTTAGAATGTAGGGGAAAGTGGAAACAATGAAACTATCTTTCATTAGTTTAGTTTCCATAATTATCTTGTCCATTGTTCAAGTGATGTGTGTAAAAGGAGATTTTCATCAAAGGTTGTAATTCCTTTTTGTCCCGCACTTGTTAGTCGGATTTAACTGGGAAGTGGTTTTTGGTTGGTTGTATTTCCTTTTTGTGAACCTTTGTATTACAAAGGTAAAAAAAAGAAGATAATTATATGGTTTAGGTCAACTTTTTTTTCCCCTTAACTTATTTTAAGTGATTTTAATTAATTGGAATAAATCGATTTCAACTTAAAGAATGGGATGTTAGCACAATTATCAAGTTTTATTTTCATAAACTTAAAAAGTTCATTAGCCTAATGGATATTTGACCATGATATATGTTAAAAACGTTGCCATAACCTTAGAGGAGTTATAACTACATTTCTGTAATATGTGTGTGTGTGACTGGCTGAACAGCATTATTTATCATACAATGTTCACTTAACTATATATGACTGAACCATTAAAAAAATATAATTTACTCATCTATATAACGACAATGATATCTATAATTATAATTGTAAAGAAACAATTTAACCCAACAGCTTAAGCTCTTGGGTCCCACCTACCTGTGCGAAGAAACAAAGTGGGGACGGTGAGGATCGAACTCGTAACCTTGTTGTCAAGGAAGCTCTGATACCATATAAAGAACCAATTCAACCCAAAAGCTTAAGTTCTTAGGTGAGGCTACATTAATGGTTTTATATATCTCAACAATACTAATATATAGTATAAGAGAAAAACGTTTATCCTTTTAAAGGATATAACTTTGTGTCATTTTAAATTTCAACCGTTGATTTTCGTCAATCAATGGTTATGATTTATTGAGTTTTATTGTGTATTACTAATTAATTAATAAGTTTGATCTAATAAATCCTAACTGTTAATTGACGGAAATCAATGGTTAGGATCTAAAATGATACAAAGTTATATATATCTTAAAAGGACAAACATTTTTCCCATAATATAATCAATAATAATTATATTTCATGGCAGGCTTAGGGAAATTCTTGACACGTGTCATTTTCATAATATCATGTTTATCTACAACATAAATATATCTAATCTAATATATATTATATGGGTTTTATTAATCTCATGTTAAAGGAGATAAGTTATCTCATGTCATAGAAACAAATTTATGGGCTCCACCATCTGAAAAAAGAAAAAAAAAAGGTGGCACAGTTATCGAATAATGTGTAGGAAAGAAAATTATCACATGTAACATAAGAGTAGTTTTTTTCCATATTATATAAACTAAGATTTACGCCTTCAATGCTATGATATGTATTATCATTCCAATCATTTCTTTCCTACAAAAAAATAAGCTTATGTAAGTTATATTTTCATATGTGTTTTGGTATTTGGTCTTAAATAGAAACCAATTAAATGGATTCAAATGACTTTAATAATATATGAATTCAATTTTATAAATTAAAGATTTCTCATTTCATGGATTAGTTAATTGCATGTATATAATAATAGTTGGGGAGAAATTCATAAACTGCCATGTGGTTTACTCTTTTATTATTTACACTTATATTTGTTTTTTCTTATCAACACTATTAGTAATTGAACTAACTTACCCATTTGACCCATAGTTTACTTGCATAAAAAGTTCCTAATTAATTTGAGAGTGAATACAAGAATTTCTTGGTCCCTAACAAAAAATAAGGTTTCCATTTTAGTCTCTTACAAAAATAAATTAGTCTCGAGGTCCCTAACAAATTCAAAGTGGATCCATTTAGTTGAAATCGTGGTCCCTCACAAATTTAAAAAAGACCCATATTAGTCTCTCAAAAAGACTAAAATGGGTCCACTTTGAATTTCATAGGGACCAATCGACTAATTTTTTTTGCAAGGGACTAAAGTGAGAACCGTGTTTTTTTGTTAGGGACCCAAAAGGTATTTACTCTTAATTTGATATAAGGATTTTTGGTCACCAGTAACAATTTATTTCTTTTGTCAATGTAAAATTCAAAAATTTCCTTTTCAAAATAGTTCTTGCGGTTATTTTACCCTTGACCTCTGTCGCAAAAATTATCCAATTCTATGTATGTCATGAATTAAAAGGTGCTTATAGAATAAAAACTTACTTGATCACTTAACGAAAATGGAAGCTTATAAGAAGTAAAAGAAATAAGCAGAAAATTAACACACACAAAAAGTATGGTAAAAGGGATTCAAATTAAATTTTTTAAAAATTAATGTGCTATCAAAACCATTTTTGCAACAATTCTCCATATATATAGATCAAGTGTGTACACCCATCTAACATCAAATTATAATAGAACAAACACCTTTATGAAGGTTTAACTATTTCAATTCATAACTCTTTGTTTTTTAGTTACTGGATTGAAATTTCGTATGTTATATTTTTTATTCCAAATAAACAACCATTCAAATCTCAGAATGACATTCATCAGACACTCATAAGCTTATAAGTAACTATGAGTATCTTAATAATCCATGACAATCCTCTTATCTAGTAAATTGTATCAAAAAAGGAAGGACACATAACTAAATCATAAAAGCAGTTTGTTGCTAGTGAGCAAGATTTTTATATCAAATTAATTAGCCACTTTTTTATGCAGGTAAAATTGGCAAGTTAGTTTGATACAACACTAACTGATGAGGGGAACATAAAAGATGCAAGAGCTGGAGAAACAGAAGAAGAGAACCTTGGAGATATAAGAGAGCCAAGCATAGCAGAAAGGAAAGCAGTTAGAGAAAGAAGGAAGCCACTAAGATTTAGAGATACATTGTAAATAAAAGAAGTGTAACCGAAATAGCAAGGTGTTTAGTATAGGATGACGTGTAAGGGAAAGGGTAAATGTGTATCGATATAAATCAATTGCTTTGTACAGATGTCAAGTAACTGAAATAAGAATTGAATCATTTTTTTCTCTCACCTCTGAGTCTCTTCTCTCTTCTCACCCCTTTCTTCGTTTCTTCCTTCATAGATAGAGATAACCTCTATCAATTGGTGCTTTCATCCACGAACTATGGCACCAGAAACACGTAACAGATCCATCGATGATCGTTTGGAAAACACACAAGCTGAAGTAGACATCTTGAAGGAGCAGATGAACAAGCGTTTTCAAGAATTAGCATGTAAATTGGATGCAATTTTTGATAATTACAGAGAACAACCACCACCACACGGTTCCGCGACAACTTCCCACTCTGCATGCTCGCGCGATCATGCGGCAGCCAGGAATTTGCGACTCAAGGTTTCAAGGTACGACGGATTAAGCGACCCACAGGGTTGGATCTATAAAATCAATCAATTTTTTGATTTTTATGATATGGCTGAAGATCAGAGGTTGAAGATAACGCCCTTTTATTTTGAGGGGAAAGCATTAGCTTGGTTTCAGTGGGTGCACAAGAACACGGTGATTGATTCGTGGTCTGGGTTTTCTAAAGCTTTACAGAGCAGATTTGGGCCGTCCGAAATGGAAGATTATCAAGGGAAATTGACGAAATTGATTCAATCGGGAACGGTAATGGAGTATCAAGAGCAATTTGAGACAATTTCCAATCAGGTAGATGGATTGTCTGAATCCTTTCTTGTAAGTTGTTTTATTTCAGGATTGAAACCTGAAATTTTACATGATGTTTCCTCCTTTCGCCCAACGTCCTTAACCCATGCCATGTCCTTAGCAAAAATCCAAGAGTCCAAAATCCAATTAAAGAACAACCCCCCAAAATTACACTCTTCTTATCCTCCATTGTTACCCATACCTCTTCACCCTTCCAAAACAACCCAGAATACAAACCCAACCAAGACTGCTTATCCAGTTAACACTACAAATACACTCAAACCCGATTGGAAACGGCTAACACAAAGCCAAATTCAGGAACGCAGAGACAAAAATTTATGTTTCACTTGCGGAGACAAGTATTTTTTTGGTCATAAATGTAAGGCTTCTGTTCATGTGTTGATTGTGCCTGATGAAGAGGAAGTCGAAGAATTCCATTCACTAGTTGATTCTTCCCTTTCTCCTCCTGGAAATGATGTGGATGAGTCTATTACAACTATTCCTCAAATCAGTTTCCACGCGTTAGCAGGTGTGATTGTCCCTCAAACATTGCGATTTACAAGCTATATTGGTAAATCTGAGTTCTCATTGTTGGTGGATGGAGGGAGCACACATAATTTCATCCAACCTAAGCTGGTTTCTTCACTATCCTTACCTGTTACCAATGACAAACAGTTCGAAGTTATGGTGGGTAATGGGCAGACATTACATTGTCAAGGCTTCTGTCCTGCAGTTCCTGTCCAAATTCAGCACCATATTTTTTTGGTGGATTTCTATATCTTACCAGTTCAAGGAGCTGATATGGTCCTGGGAGTTCAGTGGCTGCAAGTACTTAGACCAGTTACCTTGGATTACAATAAGCTGACTATGGAGTTTCAATGGCATAAAGAAACTATCAAGCTTAAAGGGGAATCTCATACAGGTCCAATTTCTCTTAATCAATTTCGCAAGATACAGCAAACAGGACAAGTGGCATCCTTGTTTCATTTGAAGATGCTGGACACTATTTTTGATTCACCAACAGAGATTGCAATACCACAGGTACAACAACTCTTAGTAGAATTTGATGCACTTTTTCATGAACCTACAGACTTGCCTCCACATAGACAAATAGACCATGAAATTCACCTTGAACCCAACACACTGCCTGTAAATGTCAGACCGTATAGATATCCCCATTTTCAAAAAAATGAAATTGAAAAACAAGTTGCACAGATACTTGATTCTGGATTTATCAAACATAGCAATAGCCCTTTCTCATCTCCTGTCCTTTTAGTTAAAAAAAAAGATGGAACATGGAGATTTTGTATTGATTATAGGGCACTTAATAGCATTACCATCAAAGACAGATTCCCTATTCC